CCTTAGCTACCACAGTTGTGAGAGCTGTAAAAAGTCAAAGGGAGGGGTGAGCATGGTTAGCATGGACCCGGGCGCACCCAGGAGGTAGTCAGGGCTTTGGGAGCCTGGCAGGAAGGGGCATCCTGATCTTTTAGGGCGGAACCTATAGGTCATATATGTTACTCCCTGGAGATAGGGATTGGGAAGCTGCTCCTTGCCCTTCAGTAAGATGACAGTTATCACCAGAATTTAGTGGGCTAAATAAGGACACTTCAATCTGTTGGAGAATTGCACAGATGAGTTTGGTCCTGATGTGGCTGGGCCTTGGGTCAAGGTGGCTACTAGGATGGAAATGATACTGCTTTATGCCTCCTTTTGCAGTTCTTTTAAAGTCAGTGCCACCCAAGTTGGCACTCCAACCCATGTCCTTACGGAATTAAGGGATGTGCTGAGGAGTCTGAAGAACAAGGTGACTGGTTGTGGCCCAGATGGCAGCTTTACGTCTTCCAAGAATCAAGGCCCCTGCCTGGCTGCAGCCCTGCTGTTCAAGCCCTAAACACAACTGTGGCTTTCTTTGACATATAGTCCCGTGGAGACTTTCTCATGATTACAGTGTTTTTTTATGTCAAACAAGATAGTTGTACAAGGTCATTGTTACATTCAACCCTAAAGTTATTCAGTTATGTTAAAATACAATAAATGTCTGATTTTTACATAATGTTTGCCTTCATGTTAAAAACTGTTTATTTGGTGTAATTTTAGATCCACAGGAAATTTGAAGAGATGATACAAAGAGTTTCTTTATGCAGCTTCTCCGATAGCATCTTACATAACCATGCTGTACTGGTCAAACCTAGTGCCTTAATGCAGTCAGTGTAACGTTAACTATATATTACGACTTCATTTGGGTTTCACTGATTTTCTCACTCATGTCATTTTTCTGTTCCAGGGTCCTAATCTGGTTAGTACAATACATCTACGTTCTTTTTCATTTTAATATGTTCCTTCCTTTATGGGAACCATTTTTATTATAAAGATATTTACATAAGAAGTCCTCTAGCTGGAGAGATGATGGCTCATTGCTTAAGAGCACCTGTTGCTCTTTCAGAGGACCTGGGTTTGGTTCCAAGCACTCACATGGTGGCTCCAGTTCCAGGAGAGCTGACATCCTCTTCTGATTTCTGTGGGCATCAGGAATGCACATGGTGCGTACATACACGTAATACACAAAATTAAATCTAAAAATTTTTTGAAAACAAAAAAGTATTGTAAACATTTCTATACCCTTTTGCTCTGCTATGAAGGTAAATTGTATAGTTCGTCACACCACCTGTAAATATCTTCATATGCATCTCCCAAGAATAGGAGTATTTTCCTACATAATTGTGATACCATCATTCTAGTTGAAAAATTAATAACTAAGCCTGGAATGTTGGGTGTTCCAGAGGCTAGGGCAAAAGGTTTTCAAGTTCAACACCCACCTGGGCTACATGGTAAGACCCATCTCAAAATCTCCCACACCATAAATAATAAAAATACTATTCCAGAATATTTACTTACCTAGTTTAAGTATTTGAATACTTAAGTATTCCACAATTGTCCCAGGGATGCTTTTAGAAATCAGTCTCACCGTTTTTGTTTTTGTTTTTTTTTTTTTTTTTTTTTGTGTGTGTGTGTGTGTGTGTGTGTGTGTGTGTGTGTGTGTGTGTGTGTGTCATACTGTTTTTGAATTCCAGTCAATGGTTTTGTAGGGTATGTTGACTGTGACTCTGTCTGCTTGCATGGGCATGGTACCGTTTACCTATCTGGGTGCTCTGTGGTTCCTGTGTCTATAGAGTTTGGTCTAGTAGTGTGATGGTTTTCATGCCACAAGTTTTTGACTACAATATTTTGAGGATAGTACATCATATCAAAAGGCCACTTAGCTGGAGTTCATCAATGTGTGGCCATGTGGGCTGAGTGGTGACTTCCTATTACAGAGATAAAATTCCCCTGGCATCATACAAAGAACCTGTTCCCCACTGACTTGTGTCTAATGATGGTTTCCATGAGGATAGTGCGTGAACTTTCCCTCCATTTTAAGTGGGTTGTTGTATCTTAGTGAGTTTGGTTGTTCATGTAACTCTATTCGAGATAAGCTGTTACTTGGAAATGCCCCTTGTGTCTGTTTTCATGCTTTACCTGAGTATCATCATGCTGGGTGTATGCGGTGGGGACTGACTGCTTTTGCTGACTGGATGTTTGTGAGGACCCGTGTTTTGTGCACCTGTGCTCGTGTGGATGGGTGTGGCACGTCTCTTCGCTCGTTTTCATCATCATGGAGTTGGGGTTGTCTTCATATATGTGTTTTTAATTGTGTGTGAATGTTTTGTCTCCATGTGTGTTTATACATGCCTGTTGCCCACAGAAGCCAGAAAAGGGCAGTGGACTGACTTCCTGAGACTACAGTTACAGGCAGTTAGGAGCCATGAGATGGGTGTTAGGAATCAAGACAGGTCCTCAGAAGAACAGCCGGTGCTCTTTAATCTGCTGAGCCACCTCTCTGGTCCCTGTCTCCATAATCTTGTTCATGACGGCATGAATGTATGTTTTCTCTTTTATTGCTTAAATACATAGGAATGGGATTACTGGATCACAAGGAGATCTACTAAAGTGGGTGGACCATTTTACATGGTCCCTATTAGTGCCTAAGCTCAGGTTGCTCCCTGCCTTGACCTGCTTGACATGTCCATGTTTGATTTTAGCCTTTTGAGTGGCTATGAATGTTGGTCATTGACTTGACTTTTTAAATTACCTTTATTATTATTATTATTATTATTATTATTATTATTATTATTATTATTATTGTTTTTTGAGACAGGGTTTCTCTGTGTAGCCCTGGCTGTCCTGGAACTCACTCTGTAGCCCAGGCTGGCCTTGAACTCAGAGATCCGCCTGCCTCTGCCTCCCGAGTGCTGGGACTAAAGGCGTGCGCCACCACCGCCCAGCTATTGTTATTATTACTTTTGGACAGTGCTGAAGATCAAAGCCACGGCCTTGGACATGCTAAGCATGTATTTTCCTTCTAAGCTATATCCCTGTCCCTCTTTGCAGGTCTCTAAGGAGGAATGGTGTTGAACACGCATTTCATTGGATATTAGGGAAAACAAACCAGGTTGGAGCACTCTGGCCTTCTGTCTTCCAGAACCCTCCCTAGAACAAAAACCCATACAACTGTCTGCGGACATTCAGAAGTACTGGCAAATACTATTATCTACAGGGAAAACATTACTTGTTTTCTAAATAATTAAATAGAATAAAATTCACATAGTAACTTGTTAAGATTTTTTAAAACATTTTGTATTTTTTTTTTTTTAAGAAAAGCATAAATTTTTCTGATGTTAAGATCATCCTCCTGCTCCCTTTTTTTTTTGTTTGTTTGGTTTTCTTTTTTTTTGAGACAGGGTTTCTCTGTGTAGCTTTGGAGCCTTTCCTGGAACTCACTCTGTAGCCCAGGCTGGTCTCAAACTCACAGAGATCCGCCTGCCTCTGCCTCCCGAGTGCTGGGACTAAAGGCGTGCGCCACCACCGCCCGGCATCATTTCCTCTTTTTAAAAATCTTACATTTAAAACCAAAAAACCCAACATTTTAGGGTCTGGAGAGCTGACTCAGGGTTGAGTGTGCACTGCTCTTGCAGAGGACCCAAGTCTGACGAAAGTTGGAGGCTCACAAACTCCAGCTGCAGGGGATCCAATGTCTCTGGCCGCCTGCACTCACCTGCACATATATGCACACACACCTATAATTAAAAACAAAACAAATCTTAAAAAGGTAAACGTTTCAGAAACAAAGCTGAATGTGTAGGTTAGTAGCAGAGCACTTGCCTCCTATGTGCGAGACTTTGGGTTCCATACCTAGCACTGAAAAAAGAGAAGTTGCTGATACACAAACAATAAAAACTCAAAGCGAACTTGGTGAACAGTGAGGAGCAGCTGGCCTACCTCAGGTTCCAGGTGCACAGCATCCTTGTTCTTTGCACTTACAATGTTGGCATCTGGACATACTGTAGACCTTTCTCTTCTCTGCTATGTCTTAGTAATGACTACCTGTGTGTATTGCTGCCTCTTGAATGTTTGCATACACTTTGGAACATAGATGCCTTCATTTACATTGGGCCTTTATAGCATACAGTTCAGATCATTTCTAAGCTGGAGCTGCCTAAGCAAAAGAGCGTTCCTATGCATGTAAGTTGGTTTTGCCACCTTAACCAGATATTCATGCTTACCTTTGGCCTGTAATTGCTAAGCGAGACTGCTTTTTGCATCCAAGGAAGGAAGCATTCTGGCATTGTATTAGAAAGTTTGGAAATAATGGTGGCTGGCAAGATGGTTCACTGGGTAAAGGTGCTTACCACCAAGCCGAATAACATGAGTTCAGTCCCCAGGACCAACATGATGGAAGAAAAACTGATTCCTGTAAATTGTCCTCTGACCTCCATGCCCATTTTATGTGTGAGCATACATATCAATAAATAAAATAAGTTGTTGTTGTTGTATTTTTTGGTTTTTTTTTTCAAGACAGGGTTTCTCTGTGTAGTCCTGGTAGTCCTGGAACTCACTCTGCAGACCAGGCTGGCCTTGAACTTAGAGATCCACCTGCCCTGCTTCCCAAGAGCTGAGATTAAAGGTGTGTTCCACCACCACCTGGGAATAAAATAATTTTTAAAAAGGTTTAGGAATGATAACAATCACTTTTTTGCACATGGATTTAAATTTTAAAAGGTTTACATAAATTTTTTCCCTCTAGTCCATAAGAAATGTCTTCAGTTGCCTTTAGGGAGTGGCACTATTAGGCCTTGTTGGAGTACATGTGGCTTTGTTAGGAGAAGTGTGTCATTGGGGGCAGGCTTTGAGGTCTCATATGCTCAAGCTACATCTTGTGGGATAGACAGTTCACTTCCTGTTGCCTGTGGCTTCAAATGTAGAACTTTCAGCTCCTTCCAAAACACCATGTCTGCCTGCATGCTGCCATGCTTCTCACCATGACGGTAATAGACCAAACCTCTGAGACTGTAAGCCAGCCCCAATTAAATGTTTTCCTTTATAAAAGTTGCTATGATCATGGTATCTCTTCACAGCAATAGAAACCCAAACTAAGACAGGGTTTTTTGGGTAAATATCTACAAGTGATTAGATAATAAACCTATTGTTGAGTTTTTGAGCAACTGTTATACTGATTTCTGTAGTGGCCAGACTAGTTTGCATTCTACCAGTGGTGTCCACTTCCTGGCCAGCATTTGTTGTTTATTTTCTTGGTTGATTCGTATCTTGTCTGTTGTGAGCAGCTCTGCAGTTAATAGAAGAATTGCAGGTATCTCCATGGCATGACACTCAATTCCTTTGAGTGATAGCCAGTAGCAGGATTGCTGGGTCATAAGTAAGTTCCTTATTAAAGTTTTAAAAAACCCAGTCTATATTTTTAAATGTAATTAATTAATTGAGCAGTATAGCCCTGGCTGGAACCGGCTATATAGACCAGGCTGGCCTCAGACTTGCCTGTCTCTGCCTCTTAAGTGCTGGGATTAAAGGTCTGTGCCACCATGCCCAGCTTTTACATTATTTCTTTTATGTGTGTGGATCTTTTGCTTCATGAATAACTATGTACCACCTCTGCCTGGTGCCTAAGGAAGTCAGAAAAGGGCATCAGATCCCCTGGAACTAGAGTTATAGACTGCTGTGGGCCTCCATATGGGTGGTGGTGTTATTCTTAGCCACTTTTGGAGTCACATGAATGCACATGCACTATCCGCAGTCAGGCAAAATGCTTAGTCACTCCAGGACTATGTGATCCATGGTCATCATGGTCACGTAATCTGTGTGCAGTGTGATCATGTAATTTGTGCATGTGTGGCGTAGCTACGTAAGTCCATATACACATGCACGAAGTGACCTACAAAAGCAGGCTCTACCCATTCCCTGCTGTCTCTCCCTCTCCCCAGAGGTAGCACGCATCTCTCTCTCACCGCCCCCCCCTCCCAGCACCTTCTTTTCGGTAGGCCTACCCACCTCCACTCTTTCTCTTCCCTAATGAAAACCCTTATAATGGGTTCTGTTGTACCTCGTGTTTTCTCACACCCAGTAAATAGCAAGTAGTGAAACTGAACCTAGGTCCTCTGTAAGAGCAGCTCTTGCTCTTAGCCAATGAGCCTTCTCTCCAGCCCCATCTAGAAACTGTGTTTCTCAATGACTGTTCTAATTTCTAGTCTCACCAGCACCTGTTACCTTTCGGCATTTTTTAGGGCGGGGTTGTTTGAGACAGTGGGGGTGGGGTTGAGACAGGGCTTCTCTGTGTAGCCCTGGCCGTCCTGGAACTCAGGCTGTAGACCAGGCTGGCCTCGAACTCATTGATTGACCTGCCTCTGCCTCCCAAGTGGTGTGCACCACCACTGCCCAGCTGCTTTTTTTTAAATAATGAAAAAAAAATATATTTCGAGTTAGCCTTCAGCTGGACTCAGGGTAGATGATTTCAGTTTTATTGGTTACATCCAAAGCATCACACCCAGGACCCTGGTGAACACATGTCTTCTCTCCATGAGGCCTGACGAGGGGGCTCACTGGCCATATTAGCACCATAGAGCTCCACAGCCTATGGTCTGGTGCCTGATGGCCTTGGCGTCTGCAGTAAGCACAGTGTGGCTTCATAACTGCCTCGGTAGCCAGGAGGCCTTATGGAAGGCATAGTGGCCAGGCAGGGTTCTCTCGGAGGCTCTCTTAGAGCATTTGGGCTCCCTCCAGAGCAGCCATGTCTCCGTCCTCCTGAAGGTGAGTGCTGTTTGGATCATCTTTAAAAACAAGTGTTTTCATTGTTTGGTTTTTAAACAGGGTTTCTCTACACAGCCCTGGCTGTCCTGGAACTCAATGATGTAAACCAGGCTATACTCAAACTCATAGAGATCTGCCTGCCTCTGCCTCCCAAAGGTGCCACCACACCTAGCCACAGTTGTATTTGTCTATTTGTGTATGGCAAGGGGTGGGCAGTGTGGGTGCACCTGTGGAGTCGGAGGATGACTTAAAGAAGTCATTCTTCTTTCCTGCCGCCGTGTGGGTTCCAAGTATCAATCTGAGTCCTTAGGCTTTGGTGGCAAGTGCTTTTTCCTGCTGAGTCATACCTCCCCTTTATTATTTTTATTTTCTTTTTTAGATAGGGTTTCGTGTAGCCCGGGGTGGCCAAGGATAGCTTTGAACTTACACCCTTCTGCCACCACCTCTGGAATGCTGGGATTACAGTTCCAGCACCACACCCAGTGTCTTCCAAGTTGGGGGTAGAAATCAGGGTGGGGTGTGTGCCCAGCTCAAACTCAGAGATGCACCTGCCTCTGCCTCCCAAGTGCGGGGATCCAAGGCGTGCACCACCACTGCCGGGCCTTGATTGCTTTTCTTATTGCTGAGACCAGAAATAAGGTGATAGAATCAAATTAAGGTTGTGGACTTGGGCACAGGGAGGGTTCAGAGGGCTCAGTCCCATGGTCACTTGGCTTTGTCTCTGGGCCTCTTGTAAGGTAGAGCATCACCACTGGGGTGTGTAGCAGAGGCAGCAGGAAAGGCTAAACTGTCTTTGTTTTTTGTTTTTTGAGACAGAATTTCTTGGTGTTGCCCTGGCTGTCCTGAAATTCTCACTGTACACCAGGCTGGCCTCGAACTGAGAGATCCACCTCCTCTGCCTCGAGTGCTGGGATTTAAGGTGTATTCCACCACGCCCAGCTTTGGCTAAACTGTCTTTAACAACCTGTACCATCTTTCTGGTAACTGACCTGTTGTAACTACAGTGCCCCCTTTGCTTTGCCTGGATACCCAGAACATAGTAAACTGGTAGGATTTCTTTGTCTTTTTGTTCTCTCTCTCTCTCTCTTTAATTTCATGTGCATTGGTGTTTTGCCTGCATGTATGTCTGTGTGAGGGTGTCATATCCCCTGGAACCGACACTGGAGTTACAGACAGTTGTGAGCTGCCACGTGGGTGCTGGGAATTGGACCCCGGTCCTCTAGAAGAGCAGTCAGTGCTCCTAACCACTGAGCCACCTCTCCAGCCCCTTTGTTCTTCTTTCAAGCAGTTTTTATTTCAAGGACGGCTTTCGGGCATCAGTCTTCTCCTCCCACCCTGTGAGTTCCGGTATTGAGTTCAGGTTGTCGGCCTGGGCGGTGGTTCTTCTGCCTGCCGAGCCATCTCACTGGCTCTTTGTTGTCTAATTTTAAAGACAGGGTCTTTCTGTATAGTGGTAGTTGATTTTCATTGTCAACTTGATTGGATTTAGAATCACCATGGAAACACACCTCTGGGTGTGCTATTCAGGGTGCTTCCAGGAAGGTTTAACTAAGAAGAGAAAACCCAACATGAACGTGGACTGCACCATCCCCTGGGCTGGGATCCTGGTCTGAATTAGAAAAGGCCAGCTGCGTGCCAGCATGCTGCTCTGCTGTCTGCCGATGTGGCCTTGCCTTCCCCGAGGTGATGGACACACAGTCGCACACGGCCGCGAGGGAAGCTGATTACCGCTCTTAACTGCCTCTACCCCCGAGTGCTGCGGTGCAGGCCTGTGGCACCACACCCAGTGGAACTGTTAGTTTTAGCTGTTGACCTGGTATTTTCCCTTATTTGCTCTGTGCACGTGTGCACGTGTCTGGGCACAGCTTTGAGAAGGAGTGGTGTGGGGGCATCTCTGAGCAGGTCCTCCCGAGCCCCTGCTAGGATTGTGTTGACCTCTCTAGCCTCAGATCCCTCTTGTCCATGTGACTCCCAGACGGTGGCCCTCCCGCCTCCTGTCCCTCTGGTGTATTCGTTTTCAGCCTCATACTCCAAGCTCTGAGAGCTTCTGAAACTGGCTCCCGAGTTCCTGCGTTTGTTCCAGTGCCATCAAGACTGTCTGTCTGTCCTCTCAGCAGATCATGGGCCCAAGTGGCAGGACTGCGCTTCGTCCCTTTGTGTGTCCAGCACCTGACACAGGGCCCAGACCCAGCAGGTTCCTGGTGCACACTTGTCACGGTTTGTCTAGGGCCAGGGCGTGTGGATGGGGCCCTGGTCCTGCATCCTAGGGCAGGGAGATCTCGGAGGGGTGACTGTCCAGCCCAGTTGCCTTTGCCTGACTTTCTCTGCCAAAGACTGTCAGGTGTAAGACTGATTTCTTCCTCTGTGGGCAACTACTTAAAAACTGAACACCAGGAATGGTGGCACACACCTTTAATCTCAGCACTCGGGAAGCAGAGGCAGGCAGATCTCTGAATTCAAGGACAGCCGGGGCTACACAGAGAAACCCTGTCTCAAAAACAAAAAACAAACAAAAGAAAACAGAAACTGAAATCCAGACTGTCTTTCCAATCTCAAGAAGCTTACTGATGGCAAACTCTTGCACTTTTCCTGAACTGCTGTGTTAGGTCAGGATGTGCCAGGAGCCGCCCATGGACGCTGTATACCTGTGGTTCTCATCCTGTGGGTTGTGGCCATTGGGTAATACATATCTCTGATGATCTTAAGAACTGAGTAGCAAAATTACAGTTATGAAGTACCAGCAAAATAATGTTATGGTTGGGGGTCGGCACAACATGAGGAGCTGTATTAAAGGGTCGCGGCACTAGGGAGGTTGAGAACCACTGATGTACATGCTGAGCTTCCCTGGTTTCACTAACCCGTGCATGCTGTTCTCAGGCCCACTTGGGATCCTGACCTTTGGATGACTGGTTACACTTACCCACAGTGTTTTTCACAACCAGTCCACTCTACAGCCACCAAACACTCTCCTCCACTGCCAAAGGGAGCCGCCCCGCTCCCACCCCAGGCCTCTGTGGGCAGCTTAGTGTGATGCTCCTGTTCTCTGGGGCTGCTGGGCAAACGAATTGGCTTGAACTTCAACCCTTCTTGGCTCTCCTGTGCTTGTTTGTGTATGATAAACTTTCTGAAGGCGTCTGGAAAGTAAATGTTTGAATTGTGCATCGTTATTTGATCAACCTTTAGTGCTTGTCTGCACCGATGGGCTGGAGGGGCTGTCTTTCTGACT